GAATGATCCGTTTTGTATCCTGGTAATATGTCCGCACTGACGGTGTTACAAAATGTAGTCTGATTTACTAAGAAAATGTCGGGCCTACAGTGAACTTTAGGTTTCTTTTGTCGCCACGTGAATCTGGAACTCTCAGGGTTTAAAACTCTCCATGCATCTATTAAATCCAGGTTTACAGAGAAATCGTTTATCACTTCCAGTGATTTTTTATGGGATCTGGCAAGACCACTACGAGAGAGTGGCCATGCCGGACGTCGGCAACCCATTTTTGGCGCCAAATCAAAAGCTTGGAGACACAAAATGTTTCACAATTTTTTTACAATCTGATATGGTTTTTGTAATTGTAAATCCCTTTTTGTGAATATTCAATGCCATCTTCAGTGAGAAAAGTTGCCTGATTTCAACTCTTTTCTGGTAACTTACATTGACGTCAGGACAGTTAAGCTTTTCCCGCCTGCTGAATCCTGATTGGTCAATTCAAATTTCAGGCGCGCAAGCTGTATGCAAGGTGTATCTTCAATATGAGTACAGCCCATAGTAGATGACGCCATCACGCGTAGTTCTTGAATATTTCGCTAACGTTCAGGGGANAACCGAAGCATGTGGTCGGAGAAATGAGAGCAGAAATAAATCTTGTTGTTGTTATTGTATAAGCTCTTTTGGTCTACTTGCGCCCGAACCACCACAGTTTGGTATAACACGATTCATGATTCACTCAAAATGTTCGCTCGTAAATTGATCTCTCGTAAGGCTTGCAGCGACCCGTTCCGAAAACGCTTAACGTTCTTTAGTGTTGGTCTACCTTGAACGGTGTGTTCGTTTGTATGTGATTTCATCGCCCTAGAAATCATAGAATCCGTGCTAACTTTCCTGGACGACAACCTCTGTAAATTCCATGTGCTATACGCATGCATAGGTGGCGCATGCGCTTTAAAGAACAGACGGCGATTTGTGACTGAACGCGGAAAAAAGAATGCCGAAATTTAAACCCAGGCCTCACTGCCTGGGTAATGATCCGTTTTGTATCCTG